TAGCTAGGAAATGGTGATCATTTAAGAAAAAACACTCACTAGTGAGAATGCAAATTATAAGACTTTTCTGGAGAAGACTGTCTCATAAGCCTCAAATATGTGTGTTCTTAGATCCAGCAATCAGCATGTGGTTTCCAACAGAAAAAAAAAAAAAGCAAATAAATTAAATGTTTAAAAAGGTATTGTCATTGTATATTTAAAGGTAGTAATATAATTAAATGGTATTTTAGGGCCACAGTAATATAATAAGTTCAAAAAAGGAACATAGAAAACCTGTTAACACTCCAATGTTTTTTATTTGTTAAAATAAATGCACAGAGGAAAATGATTGAGGTAAAAATACACCTGAATATCATCGATGATTATTTCTGGGAGGTGGAATCCCTTGTGATTTTTATTTTCTTCTTGTTGCTTGTCCATATTCTCTAAATTCCCTTCAATGACTGTGTTTGTTTTTATAATAAGAAAATTATAAAAATGACAAACCATAATAATGATGCATTTGTTTAAATAATCTGAAATCTCATGGAACCAAAAGTTCTCACTGATGAAAATAGTTCTCACTGATGAAAAAATATTAATTCCATTTGCTCTAGAACCTGAGGTATAATGCTCTAGCAGTCAAAATTCCCAAATGATGCTGTGACTGAGAAAGAAAACACACACTCCTACACCTACAAGAGGTAAAGAGTAACTTATGAGGCCCTAAGGCTTGAACAAGGGAATGATTTAAAGGTCGAGTTAGTTCCTTTAAGAAAACTGCTGCCCAGTGCACTTCTTCAAAGGAAACTTCTCACCTGACAGATAGTAGATCTGAAGTGTAGCCTACTGCCTATTGGCTTTTTTACGTTTGATAAACTACTCCTTAGTCAAGCTTTTAAGTTATTTTTTTCCTTAACAAAATATGTGCAAACAAAACAAAACCAAAACATAGGATTTCTTTCTTGAAACAGGCATTTCTCAGATTTTATCACCAGCTTACCAATGATTTGGGGGAGGCTCTTTATTCATTTGGAAGTTTAGGTTCCCCTATAGAAAATGAAGTACTCACAGAATTTTCCTTCAGCCTTAAAATTCTGTAGTTCAATGATGACAACAAAATTTCACATTCAAATCGATATATTGTACACACAAGACCATTCTCAAAGAAGGAGGAAGGCCAAGTGACCCATCGTTTTACCTCCATTTGTCCCAAAAGTTGTGTTTTGGGGCTAGTGACATACCATAATTGTATTTGAATTGAGTGCTCTTTATATTGGGCTTATGACTACATCAGTCCCAATGGAAATGTTTGCTTTGATTTACCTGGTAGTACTTTAATCATTGTAAAAATATACACAATGAGTAATAGAACTGATTAGTCCTTCCGTGTGTGTGTGTGTGTGTGTGTGTGTGTGTGTGTGTGTGTTCTGTGTGTGTGTGTGTGTGTGTGTGTGTGTGTATCTATAGTTTAGACAGCAGAGAGCAGCTAATGATAACAGCTGGCTCTGATCCCAGGATGATAGGAAACACAGGTAAGAAAACATCAAAAAATGACTTTACTTAGTTCGATTTGCCTATTTAAATAAGTAAACAAAAAGAAAACAAAAAGAGTGCCTTGCAAGGATAAGTGACCATACCGTGCTAAGACCAAGATAAATGATTGACTCAATTCCCTGTAGCTGGGGTCCAAGGGAAAAGAAGTAAAAGAACTTAATTGGTCCCATAAAAGACTGACCTTGTCAACAATATCTGACATGACTTTTTTTTCAAAACAAAATACCTTTTTTGCCTTGTCTCATTACATATCATAAATTCAGACAGAACTTGGAAACTTGAGTCTAGAAAACTTGCTTTTGACATTATGTTCCTTTGTTCCTTCACTAACAAACATTTTTAGAACTTCTTAGAAGCTGAGCATCCTGCAGCATTGGGCATTTGTTGGGGTCCAGATAACAGGATGAGATGAAAGCAATTGCTACTATTTTTATTTCACCTGCATGATTGTCCTCTGCCATCCAATTCCCAATCCCAAAATCATTTGAGGGTTTGTTGTAGATATTTTGGAATATATTATTAATTTCTCTAGTGTTTAAGAAATGGAAAAGTCCGTTAAAAAGGCAAGATCAAAGAAACTAGTGGTTATTTCCCCTCCTTATGACAGTGAGTATGAAAAGAATGGAGATAGACTTCTCCCAAGCCCATACCTTTCATACTCTGAATGTGGATCTCTCTGGAAGGCCAAGCACAGAGACATCTGTGCCTGGCAGAAGGGAAGTCCATAACTTAGGTACTCTGGGATGCATGACACAGAAGAGGGGCATCATTCCCTGAGCTTTTATTGAAATAATATTGGAGAGTTGGGGAGAAGAAGCAATGCTGAGGTTTTCCTGAAATATTTCCCCAAACTAGAAACGTGAATTTTTTTGTGTGTAGGTCACTGTCTCTGGAGCCCAGGACAAAGAGAAAGAGCCTAACTGGACTGATGGCCTGACCACCACTCCTTCACCTGAGGCTGCTACCACCCAGGAGCCATTGCTCAGCCTCCCTGAGGAGGGGGCAGAGGGTCTGGAAACAAGAATTCCAAGTCCCATTTTGAACTTAAAGCCAGAAAAGTTGGCGCACCAAGGTAAGAGATACCTGGCAATCAGCTGCTGCATCTACAATGTCAAGGCACAGAAAGGGTGTGTCTCTGAAATCTCATTCAGAAATAACATGTGTTGACTCAGGTAGGACAAAAGACACTTTTCATTTTATTATAGGTAGAATAAGAAAATAGAATGGTCATAGGACAAATTTGTGCAATAAGAAAATTTTAAAGCTCTTATAATGTTTAGTTTTTTAGAGATTTAGGAGTTTTTTTTTTTTTAATTTTTTTTTTCAACATTTATTTATTTTTGGGACAGAGAGAGACAGAGCATGAACGGGGGAGGGGCAGAGAGAGAGGGAGACACAGAATCGGAAACAGGTTCCAGGCTCTGAGCCATCAGCCCAGAGCCCGACGCGGGGCTCGAACTCACGGACCGCGAGATCGTGACCTGGCTGAAGTCGGACGCTTAACCGACTGCGCCACCCAGGCGCCCCTAGGAGTTTTTTTAATGTTTACTTATTTTTGAGAGAGAGAGAGAGAGAGAGAGAGAGAGAGAGAGAGAGAGAGAGAGCACACAAGCAGGGGAGGGGCAGAGAGAGAGGGAGACAGAGATTCCAAAGCACGCTCCAGGCTCCAAGCTGTCACCACCAAGCAGGGCTTGAACTCACGAGCTGTGAGATCATGAAACTGAGCCAAAGTCAGACACTTAACCAAGTGAACCACCCAGGTGCCCCATGTTTATTGTTTTTTGTTTGTTTGTCTGCTTGTTTTATTTAAATGCCTTTCCAAGGGTACCTGGGCAGCTCAGTTAAGCATCTGACTCTTGGTTTCAGGTCAGGTCATGATCTCCCAGTTCGTGGGTTTGAGCCCCATGTCAGGCTCTGTGCTGACAGTGTGGAGCCTGCTTAGGATTTCTCTCTCTCTCTCTCTCTCTCTCTCTCTCTCTCTCTCTCTGCCCCTTCCTGGCTTGCTCACTCTCTCTCTAAAAAAATAAATACACATAAAAAAATAAATAAATTTAAGTGCCTTTACAGATGATTGTGTTCTCATTTTGCCATGGCCCCTACCACTCCCTATTGTCTTACATGTGGCCTTGACTCATGTAGACATTTGAATTTTTGACTCCTAGATTATAGAAGAGAAAAAAGCTAGAACCTAGATTCCAACTCGTCAACATATTTTCTGTGGAGTTAGTATCTATAGAAATTAATCACTATATACATCGTTTCTGAAGAACATGCAAGAGAGACAACATCTTTGCCCAAAAGAACTTTAGATTGGTTTGACAAGTTACACAGTATACCTTCCTTAGTTATTGTTTTTAACAGTGGAGATAGTGAAAGTCTACTCCTTTCCATTCGGTCTAAGGAGTCTTCATAGGAGAAGGAGATTTGAAAGTTAGTTTTAGAAAATAAAGGAATACAGGCATGCTCTATATCCGGGGAAATGATTACGGGAGATGGAGAAAGGACTTGTTTTACAATTGAGAAATGAAGCTTATGGCATATAAACTGTCTCACAGAACACAAGTCTCAGGCAGTAAGTATCTACTTGGTTTTTGTGGTTTTTCTCACCTTGGAATCACTTCCTCAGTAAGGAATACTAATCAAGACACTAAGGAGTACCATGAAATAGAGATTTAATGAATGGCTTTCCTATTGTAGTTCTCCTTTCTCTTTTTTTCCTCTTTACAATGGAAGTGTTTCTGAGACTTATTTGCAAATAGACATTAAAAGTCATGATTTTATTGTCAAGAACTATTCTTTTTATTTATTTTAAAAACTTTTAAAATATGTATTTATTTTTGAGAGAGAGAGAGAGAAGGGGAGGGGCAGAGAGAGAGGGAGACAGAGGATCTGGAAGCAGGCTCTGTGTTGACAGCAGACAGCACAATGCAGAGCTCAAACTCATGCACTGTAAGATCATGACCTGAGCTAAAGTCGAACGCTTAACCCACTGAGCCACCCGGGTGCCCCAAGAACTACTCTTCTTAAGAGAAACCTGTGATATAAAGAGAGCCCTTCATTTTATTTATTTATTTTGTGGTAACTTATTTTATTTTCATTTATTATTTCATTTGTTATTTTTATTATTTTATTTATTATTTTTGGGGCGCCTGGGTGGCGCAGTCGGTTAAGCGTCCGACTTCAGCCAGGTCACGATCTCGCGGTCCGTGAGTTCGAGCCCCGCGTCGGGCTCTGGGCTGATGGCTCAGAGCCTGGAGCCTGTTTCCGATTCTGTGTCTCCCTCTCTCTCTCTGCCCCTCCCCCGTTCATGCTCTGTCTCTCTCTGTCTCAAAAATAAATAAACGTTAAAAAAAAATATTATTTTCATTTTACATTTCATTTATTTATCTTGAGAGAGAGGGAGAAAGGGTGCCTGTGTGTGCAAGAGCAGGGGAGGGGCAGAAAAAAAGGGAGAGAGAGAATCCCAAGCAGGCTCTGTGCTGACGCTCTATCCCACAATCCATGAGATCATAACCCGAGCCTGAACCAAGAGGCGGGCACTTAACTGACCAAACCACCCAGACACCCCAAGGATTTTCCTTTTCTAGTGGGCACAATTACATGGGATCACAAGTGGCACTTTCTAGAGGGAATGTGTACAGAAGGCTGAGATCCTCTTTATTCCAAATGTTAATCTGATTTTAGATCAAGTCCAAAGTAAATGAAGAACTCCTGTTTTTCTCTTGCCAACTAATCCCTGCAAGAGTGTTAGCCAATGAAGGCTCACGGGGTTATGTTTTCAGGGAAATATGCATTTTTAATGAGGTTGCATGAAGATCAAAGGAGTATCCAATAGTGGAGTTTCAGGTGCTGGAGGAAATATTTTAGGTATCAGGGAACACGCCTTTAACTTGGAACCATATTTTCTTCCTTGATGTGTTTCTGTGCATGGAGAATAAACTTTACAAAGCTTTCTCTTTTCATCTTTTCAGGGGGAAAAAAGCCTATAATAACATGGTATCCTTTTCTGACTCTAGATCCTAGATGCTTGGAACCCCTAAAGCCGGGAGACTGTGGCGAATATGTAGTTCGATGGTATTATGACAAACAGGTCAACTCCTGTGCCCGCTTTTGGTTCAGTGGCTGTAATGGCTCAGGAAATAGATTCAACAGTGAAAACGAGTGTCAAGAAATCTGCATTCAAGGATGAGTAAGTGAATCAACCTCTAATGAGTGTAGTCTGCACACCTAGAAAGAGCTTCTATATTTCAACACATTCACCCAATACAAATAAAACACCACACCTGAGTACCTACTGAGTACTTAAAATTCACAAGCATAGGTGAGTCCTTACAACCACCCCTAGGATGTAGGTATTAACTACTTTTATAGGCAAAGAAACTGAGGCTCTGAAAAGTTCAAGGACCACTGGACGGTTACCCAGCTAAAAAGTGGCAGAGCTGGGGATTTGAGTCAGGGATGTGTAACCTCAAGACACAGGCTATCACTACATCACAGCCGTCAATGTAGTTCTGATACGAATTATGTCAGATTAAACACCTGGCCCAACCTCCCAATGTCCCCAGCACCCACCCAGTACATCTCACTGGTCTCAGTGCCCAACCCCCTTACAGCCCTGTCTATAGCAAAAGGAAAGTGGTAGAAAAGATTTGAGTCTGGGAATCAGAAGGGATGGGAGTGTGTCTGTGAATAGCATGTGGCGAGATCAGAAAGACATCCTGCTTGGGGGAAACCCAGCAAGATGGTGATTATGGGAGATGAGAGGTACTGGGATAGGAGTGAGGTGCTGAGGGTAGTTAGATTTTTGCCTCCCTAGCCCTGAAAGTGATTGAGAAACCAATCTGAATGAAAATTCAGGGGTGCCTGGGTGGCTCAGTTGGTTAAACATCTGACTTTGGCTCAGGCATGATCTTGTGATTCATGAGTTCGAGCCCCGCATCGGGCTCTGTGCCAAGAGCTCAGAACCTGGAGTCTGCTTTAGATCCTGTGTCTCCCTCTCTCTCTTCCCCTCCCCCACTTGTGCTCTGTCTCTGTCTCTCAAAAGTGAATAAACGTTAAAAAATTAAAAAAAAAAAAAAAAGAAAACTGCTTAACTCAAATTTATTAACAATTGTCACTTCTCACTCCTCTAACATGTTTGGTAACAAAGGTAAAAAAAACAAAACTATATTTAAGACAAAAGTTGTAATTTAAACAAAGAAACTCTTTTCACCCTTCCTTTAAAATATGTAAATGAGTCACTCAGTTTTCAGGGGCAGAATGAGAAAGCACTTGATAGCCAGGGACTCGCTGAAGACCATAACGGCTCCGGAACAGGGTATTTTAAAGGCAAGACTTATTCTGAAAACTGAGCCACTAAACTGAAATACGACCCAACAGAGTAACAGAGAATTGGCTCTGTCACTTTTGTAATAATTTTGCGACATCCAGCCCGGGAAGATCATTAGTTCTGAGCTGTGCTTAGACAGCATTTTTATGTATCATCTTACAACACACTTTTTTCTTCTTTCAGGCCTGTGACCCTCATTCAAGTTTGGAGATACAAAAAAGGGCAGTCCAGGAAGAGGAAGCTGGAAGAATAGCCATCTTAACAAAAACAATTTTGTGTGGTTTAATTATATTTTTATTATGTAATATTTGAGACCACAAAAGAATACATACGATATACTTGTAAGTTACCAAACACTATAACAAGATGAACATCAGTGAACGTATCATACAGACAATGAACCAGACATAATCAATTCTGTTGAAGCTTCCTGTGTTCCCTTCTGCAATCCCAGCTCCTTGTTCCCTGCCAGGGATAACTCATCTTGAATTTTGTGTTTACCACTTCACTTTTCTATCAGGTTTTTATAGGTAATTTTACATGTAAAATCATTTTTTTTTTTGTAGCTCTGCACAATACATAGTCTTGCTTATTTTAGAGCTTTATAAAAATGGGGTCATGTTCTAGTCTTCTGCAACTTGCTGTTTTCATTCAATATTATCATTAATCTATATGTTTTACCATATCTAAATGTATTCCTAAGTAACTTATTATTTAGGTTTTTTGAGCTTTGGAACATTTGTTTCATAATATGTAATTCTTTGCAACTTGGTGTGTCAATATATTATAATTCATAGATGTCCATTTACGTTCAAAGTTGCATCATATCTGTGGACATATATCACAAAATATGTTTAACCATTGCTTTGTCTATGATTAAACTGTTTCCATTTAATTTTTCCCCCTGTTCCATCAGTGTTGCTACAAATGCTCTTATGTAGTTTTGGGTGTATGGGTACCAGTGTTTTTCTAGGGTATATACTGGGTATAATGATGGAGTTGTTGGGTTCCAGGACATATAAATATTCAAAAATAGTATATTATACCAATTTTTCCCCCAAAGTGTTTTGAACCAATTCATTATAAATTCCCACCAGTTGTGTATAAAAGTTTCCACTGTTTGATAATCTTGTCAACACTTAGTATTGTCAGACTTCTCTGTTTTGCTAAAAGTGGGTGTAAAATGATATCTTGTTTTAATTTGACTTTCTCTGGTGGCATCTAACCTTGTTTGTTTACCATCTGGGCTGAGGCTTCTGTGAAATGTCTGTTGATATTTGGAGAAGATTTTTCTATTGGATTGTTTGTCTTTTCCTTCCTTATTTAATTCCTGGAGTTCCTTATAGATTCTGATATTGAATTCTTTGTTTATTATTTGTGTCCTCATATCTTTCTAAAAGCATTCATTATCATTTCACATAAATTAATATCTTAGAAAAAATTCTTCATTTAAACAAATTCATTTAAAGTCACATCAGACTCTGAGCACTGGGAAATTTTAAACCCAGCTTTAATCAGGCTCTTAGAATTGCTAACAATCCTTAGAGTCTTCTAGTCCTATGTCTCCTCTGTTGCTTATATCCTTCAGACAAATACTCTAAGTGACTGGGTCGTCATGGGGTGAACATTTCTGGTAGGACAATTATCTCCTTCTGAGGCAGCCCATTCTTTAGATAACATTGACTCTCACGGATGCAACTTGACCTGGATGTCTCCTTTCATTCCAACAGCTCCTGCTCTGACCTTGTGGAGCCTTTCAGATGGTTGTGTTCTTGTTTTAAAAGAGTTGATATGTGCTCCTTCATTCTGGGTGCTTTGGTGGCTTCCCCTATTTCCATGGCTCTTTTGTCATTTTGACAAGCTGAGCATGTCTTCGAGCTTGGGACAATGTTCTTGGTGACTGGTGTATGAGCAAAGGGTGAACTAGCACATCCTCATTCTAAATATGATGTTGCTATAAAATATAAAAAAATCTAAGATGGCTTCCATGTCAATAGAAAACATGGGAAAATTTCCTTCTGTCTTGGAAGCAAAAAGAAATAGGAATTATGCAGCAGGAATTCTAAGTAGTAAGTAGGACTATGGATTGTAAAGACAGCAGAATTAAAGACTTCTTTTCCTATTTCTCTCTGAAATTGACCAGAGGGTTCAATTTTATTTTTACCATCCTTCAAATTTGCCCTTAAACTCCATACTCATGATTTCTTGACATTATTTTTAAGAATTGATGGAATTTTCCAGTTATTCTCTCCTTAGCATATTAGTTGGTGCCATCTTAAATTTATCATTTCAGAGTTTTCCCTCTCCGACATTTTAAGGAAGGATGCTATGGTTTTGCCAGTATCTGCAACTTGGGGTTTTTCTCAAAGTGATTCTATTATGAATAACTCACTGCTTGGGCTTGTTTTCAGCTGTTTAAAACATTGAAACATTCTCCTCCTTAAAATGCTTTAGGGTTTCTCCATCTTCGAGACACAGAGAGTAAACCTTCCAGTGTAGTATTTGAGGGCCTTCAGGACATTTCTGCTAGTTACATTACTAGTTTACTTCCCTCTGGGTTCTTACACGTGTTCTTCAATTCAGCTATAGTCAAACATTTGCTACTTTATGAGCGTGCCATTTATTTCCCTTTGGAGTATTCCCTTCCTCACTGCCTCCCTGATGGCCTCCCTCTCTCCCTTCTTCACTTACCATTACGGAATGCACTTCGTATCAGTAGATAAAGAGCTACCCTAGGTTTAAGTGCTTCACAGCTGCTTGTTTTATTTAATCAATTCATCTTTGCTGGGCCTTTAAATGTTCCCAATCTTTTGCTATGACGACCAAAATTTCATTGAATATTCTTGTATACCTTTGTCTTTGTGTAAGTATATTCATAAGGCAAAATAGGACATATAGAATCTATCGAATATATTCATAGGGCAAAATTATATGGAAAACTGTAAAGACACAGAGAATGTACTTCTTAAAATCACTTTAAGTTTTTTCTTTTAATTCCAGTATAGTTAACATACAGTGTTATATTAGTTTCAGGTGTGCAGTGTAGTGATTCAACAGAGAATGTACTTTCAATAGGCGTGTCAAAGTGCCCTCCTTATATTTAAATTTTTTTTTTTCAACGTTTATTTATTTTTGGGACAGAGAGAGACAGAGCATGAATGGGGGAGGGGCAGAGAGAGAGGGAGACACAGAATCGGAAACAGGCTCCAGGCTCTGAGCCATCAGCCCAGAGCCCGACGCGGGGCTCGAACTCACGGACCGCGAGATCGTGACCTGGCTGAAGTCGGACGCTTAACCGACTGCGCCACCCAGGCGCCCCAAAGTGCCCTCCTTAAAGACTGTGCCAATTTACATCCCTCCAGCATAGGAGTGTGCCTGTTTTTTCACCTTCTCACCATCATGCAGTGTTATTATTTTATTTTTTCTCATTTGATGGTTAAAAATGGAATCTCACTTTTATTTTTTTCAGTTTTTTTTCAAAGGATGTTTTTATTATTTTATTTTATTTATTTATTTTAACTTGTTTTATTTCTTATTTTTTAAAATTTACATCCAAATTTGTTAGCATATAGTGAAACAATGATTTCAGGAGT